AGTTTGGTTTGAGTTTGGTTTGAATTTCAAATCAAATCCAAATTTAATTTAAAGTTTGATTTGGTTTGGGTTCGTAGGAGCACTAGTAGGGTCAGTGGTTGAGTTTTTGATAGGTTTAGATATATACAACCATCCATAATTTTCAATCACATCTCTTCTTAAAAACCACGTTTGATCATATATCGACAATATGCTATATCTAGATTTGTAAAAGAATAAAATCAAAAGTAAAATTAGAATTTTATTTAAATCTATGCATTATAAATAAAAAATAAAGTAACTAGTTCGTATAAAAGTCTTTATATATCACGGCTAAAGCTAGGAAATTAATAAAATTTTCAAAATTTTTTGAAACATATTTTTTTTTAGCTTTTTTTAATAGTTAACTTAGGATTTAGAATTGTATAAGTGGGTTTATATTTTCAAATCAAGGTCCCTAATTTCCAGCTTTAGCCGCGACAATAAATTTTTACCTTAAACTGTTGCTACACATATAACCGTAAATTTGGTTAATTGAATTATACACTGAAATATTACTTGAACATGCAGCTGATCCTTCTTGAACTTTTTTCTTCATTATAAATCGTGACAATGTTTTTGTTTGAAAGTACATTTAGAACCCATTTGATTTTACATTCCCATGGAATAAGTATTTTAACATCATTGTCAACTATTATAAAGTTAGGTTTATCGTGAATATTTGTTAATATACGACCATCCAAGAATGCAATAGGTTGGTCAAGTGGGTTAAAATGTCAAAGATATTTGTATCTGTGATGGACCATATATCTTTTTCACAAGTTACATTACGTGATTTAAAGATAGGCTTGTGGTAATTTCAGTTATTATCTGGTTTTCAAATTTGTGCTTCCACTTTAAAACGTATCTAACTTACGATTTTGTCTAGATAACATTGTTTAATAGATTTGGTAGTTGTATTTAATTTATTATACAAATTGAGATATACTAGATTTGGTATAATCTTTAAACAAATTTCAGATAAAGAAATCACTGAATATTATGAAAAAATAATTTTAAATGAGATATTTGATATGATAAAAAATATAGATAAAGAAATAGTATAAATTACTTACCAGTAGAATCATCTGATGTTCCAACTGATCCAACCGAAAGGTTGTTAATATATAGGGGGAGTCAGTAGAAATGGGACAAATTTTTTCTAAGTAAAAGTTTTCTTAACTTTAAGTTTAAATATCTTGACAACTACTTAACCAATTTTAATAAATTGTTTTTTATTTTAATTCTAGATAATTCTAGAATTAAAATAAAAAAAATTTATCAAAATTAGTTAAGTAGTTGTCAAGAAATTGTAATTTAAAAATTAAAAAAAATTTACTAAAAATGATTTATCCTATTTCTACTGACTCCCCCATATGTCGTGGGACTTTTCTCATCATTAATATATGTTGTAGAACTTTTCTCATCGTTAATATATGTTGTGAGACTTACCTCATTATTAATATATGTTGTGGGGCTTTTTTCATCGTTAATATATATCGTGAGACTTTCCTCATTTTTTTCAATAGTTCTAGGCTTTTTTTTTGGCTTAGACAAAAGGTTCTCTTTTTCATTATTTTTGAATTTCTGTAGTAATATGCAAAGATAAAATATGTAAGATTTCTTTTCATTAGGCTATGCAAAATTAATTAATTGGTTTTCATAACCAAAATTTGAAATCTTGTAAAAAAAAATTGTTATGTTTTAATAACTGGGTAGGCTTTTTAAAAAAATTTTATAAAATTTTTATATATGAAATTTAAAAAAAAAAAAACCGGCCAGCCGGATTGTTTAAAAGTTTCATGTTATAAAAACCAAGATATTAAATTTGTGCAGCCTTATAAGTAACTCATATAGCTAATTTTTTCTCTTAAATTAGCGCGCTTTAATTAAAAAATCTCCTAGCAAGAGTATTGTGTGCACGTCGCAGAAAATCACTGTCTGGACGCTCTTCTTCCCATATAACAACCTATTTTTAATATAGATGCTAGCATTAATCATACGATGGGCTATAAAATAT